CTTCACCAGGTCCCTAGAATCTGCAGCAGGAGCCTGTTACATTAGGACAGATCTGAATGAAATGGATACTAACAAAATTTGGGTGGTGGGGGGGGAACATTTAAAATCTCATTACTGAATCCTAAAGAACAAGAATATACATGCAAATAAGAGGGGGAAAGTTACTATCGAATAATCAAACCTGAATATGTTTAGGCCAATGATAGCCCAATAATATGGCCCAGAAATCATTTATAAATTCAGTGAGACAGAATTTCAAAAATAGCCTAGAAATGTAATAGTCTCCCCAGGGAAAAGGACATCAATTGGTTATCCAATACCAAATGGCCAGCCCTGAAAATATATATATAAATAACATTATGCAGATTAAGCAAGTTATAATCTTAGAAATGTATATATTATACATATACTTATATGCATGTAACCATTAACAAATAAAAGAGGCCATGAATTTGAAAGAGAGCAAGGAGGGATATATAGGAGGGTTTAGAAGGAAAGGTAAGGGGGAAATGATAACCTCAAAAGGGGGTATTATAACCTCAAAAAGAAAATAAAAAAAATTAGTTTTAAAAGCCTCATCTTTTTAGTATATTATAAAAATTTTATTTTAAACACTTTTTTGAACTGGACTATATCGATAATTCACCACGAATAGGTACACAGAGGCAAAGACTAAATCTTTTTAACAAATAGTAAAGCTTTATTTTAAGACAGACCAGTGGTCTATTCTACAAACAATGTTACCAATAACCATAACGATCCAATTAGAGTAAACAGCAGCACTCTAAGTCACTCCAGGTGTACTTAGAGACAGTTCACAATGCTGCATTACACCAGTGTAAACGCCACTCGGACACAGATGCTAGAAAGGATGGCAAGGTCCAGTCCAGTGTGACGGGGTCCTGGGCAGGCTCTCGCAAGACCTTTGCCAAGGCTTTGCTGTACCACCTGAACCCATCCCCCAGCACACTCCTGCTGGGCTCCGCAGAACATGGGTCCAAAAACAGTACCCAGGTGTGACGGCTATTTTTTTTTTTAAGATTTATTTATTTATTATGTATACAGTGTTCTGCCTGCAATCAGAAAAGGGCACCAGGTCTCACTACAGATGGTTGTGAGCCATTATCTGGTTGCTGAGAATTGAACTCAGGTCCTCTGGAAGAACAGCAAGTGATCCTAACCACTGAGCCATCTCTCCAGTTCCTGTGACGGTTATTCTTGATTGTCAACTTGACTACATCTGTAATTAACTAAACCGAAGCAGCTGGGTACACCTGTGAAGGATTTTTTTCTTAAATCATTCAATATGGGAAGACCCACTTTTAATGTGGATCTTCTGCGGTGAGAAGGGACACCTTTAATCTAGACCACACCTCTGCTGGCAGCCTATACAAAGGACACTGGAGAAGGAAGCTCGAGCTCTTCACCTGCTTGCTTTTACTCTTGCTGACAAGTCCATTTCTTCACTGGCATTACAGCCTACTTGTTTGGGATGTCAGTGTGTACTGAAGACCAGCTGAGACCTCATGGACTGAACGACTACTGGATTCTTGGACCTTCCACTGGGAGACAGCTATTGTTGTACTAGCTGGACCATAGACGGTAGGCCATTCTAATACATCCCCTTTATAGCTAGCTTTATTGTGTGTGTGTGTGTGTGTGTGTGTGTGTGTGTGTGTGTGTGTGTGT